TTTAGGGTTTCGGGGTTTAGGGTTATTGCAGGGTTTAAGGAAGGATTCTTGTAAGGTTTCCTTTGCGTAGAGTTTTCCTTTAAGGCTTTCCTCAAGTGTTGTCCTTTTACGGTGTCCTTTGAATTGAGAGTTTTGAGGCTTTCCTCAAGTGTTTTCCTGAGATGTTGCTTAGGGTTTAGGGTTTAGCAATTTGGAAACAACCTCTTGGCATGCCATATGCTTCGGACGAGCCGAGACAGTTGGGCAGGCGATGGGAAGCCACCGGTAGCTGCAGGATTCCACACAGAAATATCATGGACTCTAGCCAAGTCCTATTCTAGTCGTTCAGGCCCCTACAGAATAGCCGGAATCGGACCATTCATGGCGGATTTGGCCTCATTTCGGTTCCAGTCCAGGTCGTTTGGGTAGCCTTTCTGCGAGGAACGAGACAGCCATCAGAAAACGAGTATTCCATTCTGATCCCACCAGAGAAGCTCAGAAGAACATGTGGGAGTTTCCGAAAATTGGGGTACCTTATTTTGGGGTCCTTATAATAAGGATCCTATTATTTGGGGTACTATATTAGGGTCCCCTATTTTCGGAAACCCCCATTTCCCACCAGACGAAGGGTGATCAAAGCGCAACGACAGACCATCCAGGAAAAGACAGCTCGCTTAAAGCAACAAGCTGAGCATGAGAAGCAGGAGAACGAGAGGCTCTTGGCGTTACAGCGGCCTCCTAAGTACCCACCGCAAACCGAGTCAGCCAGCAAGCGGCCCAGAACGTGCACCTCCCCTACAAACCCAAGCGAGGGTTCCGACATACGCATCCTTGGTGGTTGCAGCTGGATCCTGTTCTCCCTGTCAAGAGTGTTCGCAAAATCCGCCAAGGGGACAAAAGCAATCTTCGCGAGCGTCAACGAAGACGCGGAAGCGAAGGTCGATGCAATCCTGACGGACCTGAAGAAGCGCATCACATTGTCGCCAGACGCCGAGAACGAGCTCATGAGCGACAGATGGCCTCGCATCGAACCTGCTTCGCCCATCCAAACCCTTCGTTGTGTTCGCAGGAGACGGCCATGTTCAGCCCAACCCTAAAGTAAGCAATAAACCCATAACCCTACACCCTAAAATTGCAACCTTAAGCCCGCAACGCTAACCCGTATGGCCCGAAAGCCTTACATAAACCCACAACCCTAAACCCTAAAACCTTGAAGCACTACAACGATTGAATGGACTGTGACTGTATGGGGGGGCAGTACCCAGTTTCAAGTCATATTACTCGCTTTCCATCACTTTATGTTCACTCTCCTCTTCGCCTCTGATCGTTAGAAGCATTTCTCTTATCACTCTTATCTATACTTTTTTGTTGTAATCCTTCCTGACTGTTCGATATCTCATGTGAAAGCTGTTCTTGATAGTTTCTTCTATTTGCGACCACTGAATCTTAGCCTCTTCCTGGAACCCTGAACCCGAAAACGCCAGGCCCAGCCAGAGCCCTCAAGCCAGAAAGCCACAATCCAAAGGCCAAAAGCCCCAAACCATCCTCAAAAGCAAGCTGCCCAAAGCCTATCTGAGGTATCGGTAGATCCTGAAAGCCCATGTTTAGCCCTACACCCTAGACCCTTAAACCCTAAACCCTAAACCCTGAACCTCTAAACCCTAAACCCTAAACCCCCAAACCCCTAAACCCGAAACCCTAAACCCTAAACCCCTAAACCCATAGACCCCTAAACCCTAAACCCAAAACCCCTAAATCCTTTTTTGGGGGAGACACCTTTGGCCTCAGGGGCCTTTCTTTTTTGGGGGCGTCCGAGGATGGCCGGGCTTTCTCGCTGTCCGAAGGACGTCACTGCCCAAGTTTTGGGGTTCTGGGGTTCAGGGTTTAGG